ATTCCCTTCATCTAGCAAGCTGGTAATTTTATCAAAACAAGAGATCTGATTTTTTTTTTTTTTTTGAGAAACTCATGTTGACTTTTTGTGATAATGGCATTGCTTTCTAACACATGCCCTAAAGAGGCATTTTACCTCTTCCGGCTTCAATCCTTGATTGAGGATACAGCTGGATATTATCAAACATAATTTGCTGATGATTCTGCCATGATGCCACTGGCCGAATGCAGCCTGGGTCCAGGGATTGCTCAGCCAGCCAATTTCTCAAGTCAGAAAACTTCCATTTCTGGAAAAGTGCCAGCTGAGCATGGCTTTCAGCAGGGCTACATTCAGCCGGCGCCATTGTGGCAGGATCTGCAACCAATTATGTCTGATAACATCCGTCTGTATCCTTGATCAATGATTGAAGCTGGAAGAGGTAAAATGCTGCTTTAGGGCATGCAATAGGCTCCAGAGTGTCAAACTGGATTCATTCGGCAGTGTAGATGCAGCCTTAGACTGAAGAGCCCAAATTGATGCTCAGCCACCAGTTACCTTTCCATGTAACCTCAAAGGATCAATTTGGAAGTATGACATGTATGCCACCTGGGACATTTTTGAAGAAAAGACAGGCTAGGTGGTAAATCCTGTTGAATAAACCTGCATCAGACATGATTGCATTGTACAGTGAACTGCCACCATTGAAGATTCATTATCATTCTCACATCATTTTGCTATTCTTGACCCAAGCTGCCTTTTCACTCTTTTGAGTGAGCCAGATGACCCTCTTGTTCTATTGCATATAAACTCTACATGCTTGTGAAGTTCATTATTCACTCAACCTCTGTGCCTTTGAACTCCATCGATTTTTGTGTCTAATTCTTGATTGTGTCTGGTAAGGGCATTCCACTTTATTGGCATTAAGTACTTTGAATAATTAATATGGTAATTCATTCCATGCCAAGAAATGAAATATTGCCTCATGCGTGGGAGAAACCAAAATACCTTTAAGGGAAGTTTCTCTGTGTGTCTTTAATGCCATAAAGGTACTTCCGCAGGAGCCTGAAGAACCCATGCTTCCTTTGTTGTCCTCTGCAGACATTAAGAGGAAAGTTCTTTTCAAGAGATAAAGTTCAAGATACAATATCAGGGCAACAGAGTGTAAAGATCAGCATTTGGAATTATGAGAGTGCTTAACAACCCTTCTGCTGAATGGCAAACTTGTGCAACTGGATGCTGTAAGCCAGTGATTCTCCAAACTCTGGTCCTCCAGGTGTTTTGGATTTTAGCTCCCAGAAGCTGCAGCCATTTTAGCCAATAGTCTGGGATTCTGGGATGTCTGTGAGCTTTCTCCAGATGATGTTCTTGCGGTGCACCCAGCTACAAGTAAACAGCTAAAGACATCTCCATTTATTTTTCCACACTTTCTGACAACACAGACATGGGACTGTTCTACTTTCTTATTGCTAACTACTACTAAGTTGACTTCAGTTTATGGCAATCTCATGAATAAGAGACCTCCACGTCTTCCTATCCTC